AGATACATGTATCTTAACACTTAATCATTAGGTAAAGGAAATTACTGTGACAACCTTACACCAAATAAAGAATTTCTGCTACAGCAAAGCCTGGCGCATATATGCTTCCTTTGTGTGTGGTTTCTTTAAAATTTCTTGTGTATGTCAAAGGCTTTGCCGTCCGAATGGCAAATGTTCTTTACAATTACGATATACAGTCATGTAAATATCCGATAACAGATCCGATATATTTATCTACATACATAGTAAACAGGTGATAAAGACATGCTGGCTTCCGGGTGAGCTATATACGTGTGTATTTGGAGTCTGTATGTACTATTGAGCCTTGAAAATTTTCCCAAAATTTGGGTAAAACCTTAGCGTCCAGTATCAAGGTTTTAATTTTAGTAGCCTCTTCGAAAGCATATTTTCGGGAACTAAGCCCATTCTAACTGTCCAAGATAGGTATGTAATTAAGGGATTGTTCCCCAATAAAACCAGAGTAATTAGCGTTTTTATAAAAACCTGACCAGCGCGGCCTATAAAAACTTTTTTTTTTCAAAATAAAAAAATACGTGTCTATTCTTTTATCACAAATAACAATATTTTGATGCAGCGTTTATGAATTTCCAAAAAGTGTTTTTTTGAACCACTATAATATATATAGTATGCATATGTTTTATGTATGAACCAAATCGGGCCATAACTAAGACTTTGGTAAATAATATATATATGCATATAAACTAAATCTTTGGTTCTGCGAAAACTTATTTCTGCAAAAAAAATTATCACGCGAAAATTAATATTTAATTTGCCCAGCTGTAATGTGATATTAAGAAGAAATAATTAATCAAGTCCATTCCGCAGTTTTTGGTCCAAGGGGCGTTAATATTTAACAGCTGGATGAAATATGATTATCTAATTTTGATTCAAACCAGCTGACTCGAACCTTTAAACTGAAAGGCACAGAAAAGCTGGCCTTTATAGTAGACGCTCTTTTGAATGAAAAAACCGCAGCTCTCTAGCTGCATTAGTTTTTTATTAATTCACTTCAAATAATAGATAAAAATGAGCAATTTTGGGTTATGAAGTATTACATATTGGACCACCACTACCAAACGCATCGAAATTATTTACACTAATGTTAGTACCTTTTCTAAACATGGACTAATTTTTCCCACTTTCTGCTACTTTTAAAATGCATGCCACAATTAAGACAGTCTACCATTTGGTGAGTTCGTACTGACATCACCTTCTCTTATTCCACCATGGGCTAGCCTTGGGAAAGGATGAAGTTACTAGAATTCCCTTTCTGTGTGGTAAACCTGGGCTGCCGCCACAGTGATGTCTATTGCGGTTCCTATTATATTATGGTTACGTATTATGGTAAAAAATCGCGCGATTTTTTATTACACAATTTCGCCTGCGGCGCTTATTCCAATAAACATCGATACTTCGATATATTATGAAATCTCTAATAATGATATATAATATAAAAGTCGATACTTTGTTATATATGAGCATTTTTAAGCTGAAATTAGTCAAGAACGTTAACCTACCGGTACGGAAACCCGAGTCCGCTGACCCGATCTGTTTTACCAAAGCGCCATGTAAATGAAAACTCAACGCCGCAGAATTTTTCTGTAGTTGTAGCCCGTAGCGCAGAAATCTGCGGAATTTAGATTTTTCCGTGTCAGCTGATTTCTCCTTCTTTAGATGGTTGCCACTTCGTCAGTTTTGCAGATGGTAAAAAAGTCATAAGTTCCTATTCAAAATATGTTTAAAATATTTGAAATTTACTATTAAATAAGGTTTTTGTTGAAAACTAAGTAGTTTATATTTAGCTACAATCTATTATTGAAGAGTGGCAACAGTGTAGTAAGCAACACTGAGGGCTCCAGTAATCGACGAAATTCTGCGTATACAGACTGCGTTTAAGTACACGTTCTGCGTTCTCGACTAATTTCAGCTTTACTGATTAGTTATTTCCACAATTAATTATTCCACATAACAGTCTAAACTCCGTGTAAACAAATTCAATATTTATTCCATTAAGGTTGAGTGGCAATACCGCACATCAGTAGGTGAATTGTGCATTGAGCACACCAAAATTGTTTACATTTTAATAAATAAAATATATAAGTTTTTAGTAATACATTTAGCAATATTTTGACATATATGGCTAAATTCAAGTATTATTGCTGTATCTGTGGTGAAATATGGGCAATTTATGCATTTGTGTGAGTGTAGTAAGTAAATAAAAAAAGTGCTATTGTGAAAAAGTTTTTTGTTAATAACTTTTAATCGGGTAAAAAAGTTAATTTCCGCTTTCGGATTCTTGTTAGGGGGTCCAGACGCGTCTAGTGGTACCCCCTTTCATAAATTTTGATGAATTTTTTGGGGTTGAAAGCCCAACTCGATGATTACCATTACATTTAGATTTCAGTTAAACGAGATGTTCAAGCGCACTGCAGTGCTAAAATAATTTCACCACATTAAATTGCTGCACAACACCCCAATTGCCGAAAAAACGTTGCCTGCAACCCTACTCCTTTATGATGCAATTTGGGATGCAATTTGGTGGAAAAAACGGCTCAGTTTGTTTACTGAATATACTGAGTTTGATATACTCATGATCACAATTGGGGTGTTCACAGTTCGTTCCAAATTGTGTCTGAAAATGTAGACGTCTACATTTTGAGACATCTTTAGCATCAAACTGTGAGCACCCCTTTCTAGCAGTCGTCGCAAAATCGTCTCAAAACTTTGCTGGTGTTGCCAGACATTTCTTC